TTGATGGTTTTTCTGTATATACACATTGGCGTCCTGGCATCTGAGACTACTCGATAGATAATTCCCTAGATGGAATGAACACACAGTGTATTGATTCTATATCACGTGAATTTGTAAACGACTCGTACTATATGACTTCTGGTGTAGACTTGACCAGAGTATAACCGGCCACATTGCCAAACCGCCTGACGAACTCATCTGGATCACTGTAAGACCACTGCCGTGCGTCTCTGTGATGCTCCATCTACACCCTTAGGTCTGTCTACATCGGTTCCGTATCATTGCATCACGGGTCCTGGGCGAACCATGGTAGCCGGATCGGAAACCACAATCGGATATAGTGCGGGTCCCAAACGTTATACTGGAGCCAGCCATCGGGCGTCGGTTATCCAGCTCCATCGGCCCCCCCGTCGGTAAACCAGTAGAAGGCCAGCGATTCAGAAGCACAAAAGTCAACGGGTAGTTCCTGGTGGTTTTCGTGATCTGTCGTCATCCCGCGCCTCGATAACCCGTCCGATGAGCACAACAAAAAAAGCATCACCGTTCCCCACCCCCATGCTTGGATGGGATGACCGGTCAGGTCACCGCATGTGGTGGGTGCGAGGAATGTCATTCGAGTAGGGCATGATACAGTGACGAAATTCAGCGATGCATGTGGTGGACGACCTCCATCGACATCTGCAAGTTCCATTCGCAATGCCAGCCTCGCAAGAAATGTTTTTTTGACCATAGACTAATCTAGTCAGGGGGTTGGAATGGATCTTCGAATTTGTCACGATCACTACTGCTCATTGTATAGAGTTTCCATGTCTAAAAGGGGAAGAAGTGCGCGTCCTTGCTCCAGGTGGATGTGGTCGCTGCGTTCCGAGCGGGCATGTATGCCATGGTTTCTATATAAATCCTCATTTCTATAAATTCCATTGTGTTGTTTGGGAATGTCTCATGTGCTGTTTTCTTTTTTTTTACCTCTTTTTTTTTTTTTTATATAATATTATGATTTTTAATTTTTCTTGTTACGTGATGTAAGCAAGCTGTGACGAATCCACCCTTGGTGTCGGCGTCGTCAATCCGGATTTGATCTGCTCCCCTGCCCATGATCTACAGGACCCGACGATCACCGCTCCTACTGATTCCTAAGCTCCAGCCACTAGTCAACGCTACTCGCAGGGGGTTTCATTACTCGTTCCCAAACAGGTCCAGCACTTACACCTGCCAAGTGGTGCCTGAAGGCTCGGATAGTACTTTGTCGAAGGGATGCCAAGCCAGTCCACTCTGAGCTAACCTTTACCCCCCGTAGATCCCCACTTCCCACGCCCCTCCTCTGCTGGGTCTAGATGATGTGATTGTCAATCATCACCCTGTTGATCGCCTCCCACTGGGTCCCCATCGTTTGTAATACCGTTGACCCATCTTGTCATTACACGGTGGAGAGCTCAGAACTCGGCGGACCCAGGGGGAGGCGAGAGTGGGAGCAGGTGAGACGGTGACATATGCGCTGGCGTAGACTGTAGGGTTGGGATCGGTGGATTTTAGATTGTGAATTGGGATCCAAAGGGGATCTATAAAAGTCCCCTGGGATGGCATTAGGAGAAGTGTCAATGCATCCAATTTATCTTTTCACTTTCCAAGCGTCAGTCGTTTATCCTTACACTTCACTTCTCGTCTGTCTTTACTGAAACAAGAGTTTGAATCTGGTTTTATTCTGTTTTTTATTTTTTTTATTTCATCTTTTTTTTCTCCGTTTGTATTATCCTCTTGTTATCAGTTCTATCTCATCATCAATTGTCCGATTCGATTGTTTTTGAAGCTTCAACTGTACCGGATTGGTCACCTGATTAGGGCATCGCATCATCATGGGGGAAGAGAATCGAGAGAATTTGTTCAACCTCCGTCCGGACACATCAGACACCCGAGATGGCTTGGTCAGTCGAGGGGGCGTTTCCGATATCTCGGCGGCACCCAGTGAGGCGCCATCGACACAGCCCATCATGCCCATGGTCACTGAGAAACCGGTGATTGTGGATTGGGATGGCCCCGACGACCCCGAGAAACCCTTGAACTGGCCGAAGAGCAAAAAGACCATGATTATCAGCGCCGTCTGTCTGATGCGATTTACCACGTATGTCCTCCTCTTTCATCACTTCTGTGTCGCGATGCTGACTGGTTTAGTCCCCTGGCCTCTTCGATGATGGCGCCGGCGCTTCTCCAAATCGAAGATGAATTCTCCAGTGCCTCGTCCATGGTCATCACATTCTCCGTTTCTATTTACGTTAGTTACCTACTTGTCTCTAGTCTGTGATATGAACTTTCACTAACCAAATTAGATTATTGGCTTCGGCATCGGTCCCCTCTTTCTCGCGCCTCTGTCCGAGGTCTACGGACGAAACCTCATCTACCACGTCGGAAACATCCTCTTCACACTGTTCACGGCATTGTGCGGCCTGTCCCCCAACGCGACAGCCCTCCTGATCTTCCGACTCATCGCTGGCGTGTTTGGTGGCGCACCCTTGACCAACGGCGGTGGATCCATCGCGGATCTGGTGCCTGCCACGGAGCGTGGATTCATCATGAGTATCTTCAGTCTGAGCATGTTGATTGCTCCCGTTGTCGGGCCTATTGCAGGCGGGTTCCTGTCCCAGGCCGCGAACTGGCGGTGGATCTTCTGGCTGCTGACCATTCTGGTATGTTATTATCTATCTGTCCATCTATTGCCTAATCGGTTCTGACGACAGCAGAGTGGCATCACTACTATCGTCTCCTTCATCTGCCTCCGCGAAACCTTCGGTCCCGTCCTGCTCGAGCGCAAAGCGGCCAAGATCCGCAAGGAAACAGGAAACCCCAACGTCGAAGTGGTCGGACGCGGCGGCCTCAGCCTCGGGGCACTGCTCCGGCAGACCCTCATGCGCCCCATCACCTTCCTGTACAAGAGCGCGGTCAGTGTTGTGATGGCCATCTACATGGGCCTGGTGTACGGCATCATTTATCTGCTCTTCACCTCCTTCACTCAGGTGTTCCAGGAGCGATACGGGTTCAGCCAGGGCTTCGCCGGCCTATGCTACATCGGACTGGGACTGGGATGCGCCTCGCAACTATTCCTTGGAAGCTACAGCGATAAGATCTATACTGCGTTGACCAATCGCAACGGCGTCGAGCGAGCCGAGTATGTTCTCCAGCAAGAAGACAAATTGGGTATATGCTAATTAGTACCTAGATACCGACTTCTCCTCCTCATCCCCGCCGCCTTGTCTCTCCCCATCGGACTGGTGATCTACGGCTGGACCGCAGAATACACCGTCCACTGGATCGTCCCCATTATCGGCACCGTCTTCATCGGCGTCGGTTTTTCCGGCTCAATGACTAGCGTGCAGACCTACCTCGTCGACGCCTTCACGGCCTACTCCGCCAGTGCCCTGGCCGCCAACAACGTGGTGCGCAGTATCGCCGGCGGTGTCGTGCCGCTGGCCGGTCCCTCCATGTACGGCAAGCTGGGACTCGGATGGGGCAACACCCTGCTGGGTCTCTTGTCCTTGGTATTTGGCCTGACACCGATGTATTTCTACTGGTTCGGGGAGAAGCCGCCGAAGAAGGGGGAGGAGCCAGTCTAGACTGTCATTCACTCTCGTCTTTCATTTTACCCTCTTTACCTGTCTCTTTTTCGTCTTTTATACCCCTTTACCCTCATTCTGTCTTTGAAATGTCTTTTCCTTCCTACATGTACAAAAGTTTTGCATTGCGTGGGCTGGTCTGGGGCTTTTGAGTCCGTTATATTCACTTCAGGGGAAGTGACGTCATTGTTGTTTTTCCAAGGCGCACTCAGCCTCGTCGGTGCATCCGTTTCTCCTGTATATAAACAACCATTCGGCTGTCTGACGTGATTTTGATTGTTTTTGCATTTCGACTTGAAAAAAAGGTCTACAGTAAATAAAAATCGGAAAAAACTAAAAAAAAGTTTTTGTCACTCGGCCTGTGGTCTCAAACAGACTTGAATTAGACTACATCAGCCCCACGCTGCCTGAAAATGACTTCAGCTGTCACCACCGTATTGTCCACCCACGAATTGCTGGAAGGTATCCTACTCCAAGTGGACCTACGCACGCTACTCATCTCGGCCCAACGCGTCAACCATATCTGGCATGACTTGATAAGCAGCTCGCTGCCTCTTCAGCGCGCTCTCTTCTTCGCCCCAGATGACAACAACAACACCGAGCACACATTCAACCCGTTCCTGAAAAATGCCTTTCCCACCTTCTTCCTGCCCCTTTCCGGCTCCTCGGAGGGTGGGCGCAAAAAACTCGACCTCAACAGCCTGGAGATGGTGCTCCGCCCAGACAAACAGACGGCCTATCTCCGGCCAGCTGCCAGCTGGCGACGGATGCTCGTGCGGCAGCCGCCGGTGCAGAAAATGCTCGCCGTGCGGGTGACGTCGAGCATGGCGGGCCATCGTCAAGAGATGGAACAGCTAAAGGTGCCGGAGGGGGGGCTCCGGATGGGACGGGTGTTTGAGCTGGCGGTGTCGCGCCAGGTGGTCTCATTTGAGCCCATCACGCACAACCACCTCTTCTGGGATCCCGGCTCGAAGGGGAGGGGCTTCCCGGGGCCGCCGCACATGCGGGTGGGGGACGAGTTGCGGCAAGCGGTGGTGGAGATGGAGGCGGATGCGGTGCTGTACTCGTACCATGTCGTGCAATGTACGGTTAGGTGGGAGGATACTGCGGAGATGACGTTGCAGGCGGATCTTGCGAGGGGGTATGGGAAGATTGAGCTCTGACATAATATACTTGCATCTAAGATATAGCATGGAGTACATTGGTATGCTGGTATATTGTCTAGGGATCGCAAAATATATGTCACGGGATAACATGCCGCAAGCTTGAATCACATTATCGATAGTTAAAAGTACTCTACGTATGATCTGTATCCCATTGTCGATCCAGAATATAATAAGAGTACTGTATAGTGAATCTGTGTCTTGGAAACCAAAAGAGAAAAGAAAAAAAGAATGGGATGAACCGGGATCGAACCGGTGACCTTTAGATAACCCTACTCGAAGTAGACGAACTGAAGTTGATTCTTCAGTCTAACGCGCTCCCAGCTGCGCCATCACCCCTTTATCTTGCACCTGTCTCTCCCTGCTTCGTTATCAGCCAGATCATCACCTCATCCACTACAAGCTCCTCTCCATCATTATCATTTCCGGTCAACAAGACTTCAATATCACGAGGACAGCATTATGGCCAATAACTCGACAGATACCCTGAGCCACCAGTCCATCACAAGAATCACATTCAAACTAAATTCTACCATTGCCTCGGCTTCCACTAACTTTCCCTAGTCTATCCTCGTGCCGACTAGCTGCGGGGTTGTTGACCTCCGATCACTCCGGGGAACGTGGACGATGCATAAACCCCAAACCTTCCCCGGATCTGAAGGTTGCGTCGGGTCTCTCGGAGGAGAATGACCTCCAATCTTGACGATGTCATTGGAGAGACGATCGTGACTCGTATATCCCCTATCCTCCGACCTATCGTCATTTAACCCTACGTCGGCAGGACTGCCCTCCTGGTTCAGACAACGCGAGGGAACCCCCCTGTCGATCGCGAAGGATGCCCCAGAGGGATAGACTCCCGGTCGCGCCCCCTCCCCCTCGGTAGATGAGAGGGGGGATTTGTTAGTCGTTATTTATAGGGCTGTGAGAACCGCTCTTTCGTGGACAGCGGATACTCCAGTTCGTGATCCATCCTCGCTCCACCATGCTCCTCCGTCTGTCTCTCCGTCTGGCGCTGTTGGGTCTCAGCCTGGCCCCGGTGGTTGCCTCGCACCCCGCGGGGCCGGCCACCACCCAGGATCTGCCCCGGAGCCTCCCCCAAGACCCCAGCAAGGACCCCTTCTACCAACCCCCCGGGGGGTTCGGCCTCGAACCCCCGGGTACCGTCCTGCGCAGCCGCCGCATCATCGCCTCCTTCTTCGGCCTTCTCCCCAACCCGATCGAGGCTCACCAGCTGCTCTACCGCACTACCGCCATTGATGGCTCAGCCATCAGCACCGTGACGACCGTCTTCAAGCCGCGCGACCCCAAGCCGGACCGCTTCATTTCCTTCCACACCGCTTACGACTCGTCCTCCGTCAGCTGCCAGCCCAGCTACCAATATCAGCTGGGGTCGCCGCAGACCGACCTGATCCTCTCGCTCGAGATGCTCGTCATCCAGATCTACCTGCTCCTGGGCTACGTTGTCGCCTCCCCCGACTACGAAGGCCCCGACGCCGCCTTCGGGCCCGGCCGCCTCGAGGGCACCGGCGTGCTGGACGGGATCCGCGCCGTCGGCCATCACCACGCCGCGCTGGGCCTCGAGAGCGCCACCCCTCCGGTCGTCGGCGTCGGCTATTCAGGCGGCGCCATCGCCACGGGCTGGGCCGCCGGCCTGCAGCCCACCTACGCGCCCGAGCTGGACATCCGCGGCTGGGTGGCCGGTGGCACGCCGGCCAATCTCACCGGCACGCTCGTCTTCATCGACGGCACGGCCTTCAGCGGGTTCATCCCCGCGGCGATCGTCGGGCTGACGCAGCCCAGCGCCTACGGGGAGCGTCTCCAGCCCGTCCTGGACGCCATCATTACCGACGAGGGGCGCTCCGTTCTCGACACGGCATCGAAGCAGTGCGCCCCCGCCGCGCTCGTCTCCTTCTTCGGGCAGTCGCTCTTCGACCCAGCCATCCAGACAATGGGCCGGGGGATTCTCCACGAGCCGACCGTTGCCGACATCCTCAAAGCGAACACGATGGGCGCCAAGAGCTCGGAGACGCCCACGGCGCCGGTCTTCCTCTACCACGCGACCGACGACGAGATCATCCCGTACGCGAACGCGACGACGCTGCGGGATGTGTGGTGCACGGATGGGGCAGACGTGCACTTCACGACGTTCGCCAGCGGCGGGCACGCCACGACCGAGGTGATCGGAATGCCACGGGTGATTAAGTTCGTGGAGGCGGCGTTTGAGGGAAAGACGACCAAAGGGTGTGCGATGGACGAGGAGCTGTCGGATAAACTGGATCCGTTGGCGTTGGGCGTTGATCTGGAGCCGATTATGGTGAAGTTGCTGCATGCGTTGATGCTGGCGGGGACCAAGGATGCGAGGTTGCGGCAGGATGTGAAGGTGTGGGGGGAGACCTTCTAATGGTGTTGATAATTGACGGTAATTACGGACATGATGATGGTTAATGAAGACGATGCTTCCACGCGTTCATTATTGTCGATTCTGCAGACTATCTTGCATGATGTCACATACACCTGTTTAACACATAATAATTACTAACCAGAGAGGAAAGTCATTTACGACAGTCTTCACTGATCAATGCGAATAGTATCTCATCAATCAGGCTGTGCAATGCACCAGAGGTAACTGACATTGGGTCTCCACGAGCTGGCCACCGTGGCCATCACAGATATGTTATAGGAAAGGCCATCCCATCCTAGCCATAGATACACATAGAGTAGGCCAGAGCAAAAATAGAAATTCGACTTGGTATTGCGAGCTATAAAACACAGCCTGATATAGTTCTGACTAGATCAACAGACCCAGACACAAGGGCTACCAACAGCCGATCCAAGCATTGACGAGAGAGCGAATCGCAAGTCTAAACGTCCAATCTATACGCACTAACCACGTCCAGGGACAGGATATTTATAGGGCCCAAGGGTCCGACGGAGAACGGCGCGCGTTGAATGGTCAAAAATAACACTAATACTACCAAACTAACTTATTCGGAGACTAGAGCATAGTCGCTCCGCCGCAGTCGAGAACAGCTCTACCAAGAGACCAGCTTCGAGAGGTAAGGATCGTCGGTATGGCCTCGGTGGGGGCCAAAGGGCTGAGAGCCTGAGACAGCCTCAGCTGGGCCAGAAGGCTGGTGAAGAAGCTTATAAAGTGCTTATCTCACGGTGTCTGTATCTTCATCCATATCTACCCTATCGTCTCTTTAATCCACACCCTCCCCCATCTGTTCAAGACCTTATACATAATCATGGACGCCTACCGCGCTCACTTCAACACCAACCACTACGCCGGCTCTCAGCTTGCCCAGAACTACGCTCCTCACGGTGCCAATGCCAATTACTACGGGGGAGAGGCACCAGCTCCATCGACGCATGCCGAGCCAGTACCAAACCATCACGGCGGCGAAGCGGACCGCGGACTGGGGTCGTTTATGAAGAAGTTCGGCAGCAAAGAGGGCAAAGAGAGCAAAGAAGGCAAAGAAGGCAAGGAAGACAAAGACGGAGAAGACGGAGACGACAAGAAAAAAGGAAAAGCCAGCAAGATCATGAAGCTAGGGATGAAAGCGTGAGTTTGCGTATCTGTCTCTCTGTCTGTGGACTGGGTTCTAACAGTGGACTAGCTACAAGAAACACAAGGAGAAGAAGAAGTCCAAGGAAGAGAGCGGGTCTAAGCCGCATAAGTCTCACTCTGGAGGAGCAGCGGCAGTAGGAGAGGAGGAGGAGGAAGAAAGCTCGAGTGGATCGGATTCTGGATCGGACGAGTCTGAGTCTGAATCTGACTCGGGGTCAGGGTCGGATGATGAATAATTTCTGTTAGACCTTATTGTAATTTATTTCTCGATCGTCGGATAGACATTAGCGAGCGTTGTTTCATTCTTGGTCTTTGCCTTTTATAACTTATATACACGAACGTATGTATGTATAAAAATCATTTCATAACCTCCACCTCCACTCCCACCTTCATCCCCCAGCCATCTCTCCCCCCAACCCAATGCTTCCGCTTGCCGACTTTACGAATCTTATGGATGGTCCCCTCCAACAAATTCTTCACCTGCGACGGGTCGATATCCACCCGCTGCACACGAAACACCAGCTCGAGGCCCTCCTTATTGCGGCGCTTGCCCAGATGACTACTCCACCGCGCGGTGGGGAGCACACGGGGCTGGGCCGGGTCGACAATCCCCACGGGATACAACGCGGCAATCACAAGGCCTACGCCGCCGAGATAGCGCGTCCACCAGACCTCCTCCGCCGGAAGGAGGGCGCGCAGGCGGCGGCGGAAGTCGCGCTCGCGCGGGGGCAGCGCCCCGCCGTGGCGCGCCTGCAGTAGAAGGGCGAGACGGGCGCGGTCTGCGTGGGGGATGCCGTGTGCGGCGGCCATGGGGCCTGCGCTCGTGCTGTACAGCGCGGCCGTGGAGGCCAGCTCCTTGCTCATGGCGGCGTGGAGGTAGAGGGAGTTGGCGAACGCTTGGAGGACAGGCCCGCTGAGGGGGCGCGGGAAGCGGCGCTGGGTCGTTGGCGGGGGGATGGTGGCGAGAAGGAGGAAGAGCAGAGCTTGAACAGAGGGACGGGCGTATGCTTCGGTGGCGACCTGCAGGGGGTCTTGCTGGCGCACGACGGGCGGCAGGGTCCGGAAGAGGAGCCCCTCGCGCACGCCGCCCTGGCAGAAGTGGGCGGCGCGGATGCCGTGCGGGACGGCGGCGGCGAGGGCGTTGACGAGAAAGGCGACGGAGGGGACCTGGGCGCGGCGGCGGTCGGAGACGCGGAAGATGCGGTCTGCGGTGCGGGCGGCGCGCTCGACGGAGTCGGTGTCGGCGAAGTCGGCATGGGGCGCGGAGTAGCCGTTGATGATGGAGATGGGGTAGTATTCCTTGTCTGGGTGGATCTGGTGGAGGTAGAGAAGGAGGTATCCCCAGCCGCGGAACCCGCCGCCGGAGAGGTAGAGGTCGAATCCGCCGTGGCGGCGGGCGTGGTCGCGGAGCGGAGCGGGGATGGCGAGCCGGCGGAAGGCGTCGCGGAAGTGATCTTCCATCTCAGCGCGAAAGTTGTCAAGGGCACGACGGGCTTCGCTCTCGCTCTTGCCTTGCTTCAGCCGGCGGAGTGTTTGTGTCAGTGCTGCCGCACCGTAGGGGAAGCTGACGGCGCGGTGCGGGCTCATCTGTACGTGGCCTGCGTGAGCGATCAGCCAAGTGATCTGCATGCTGCCGCCGCCGAGGTCGATGGCGAGGCCTTGGATGTCAGAGAAGCCGCTGGCGATGCCCCACGCGCCGACGACACCCTCGTGGCCCTTGGAAAGGATCTCGACGGGGCGGGTGGTGGCGCGCTCGATGGCGTCAACC